TGTGGCACGTTCACTAAAAAAAAATCCCTTTGTAGCTCATAAATTATTAAAAAAAATTGAGAAACTTAACACAAAGGGAGAAAAAGAAATAATAATAACTTGGTCCCGGGGATCTACTATTATTCCAATAATGATTGGTCATACTATTGCCATTCATAATGGGAAAGAGCATCTCCCTATTTATATAATGGATGATATGGTCGGACACAAATTGGGAGAATTTGCAACTACTTTAAATTTTCGAGGACATGCAAAAAATGATAAGAAATCTCATCGGTAATGTGAATACTAAAAAATATTTTGATGCTTATAAGTCATTAGTAGGAGGCAAATTTTATGTACCAGATGCTAAATAAAAAAACCCCAGAAGTATACGTTTTAGGTCGACGTATAGCTATGTCGGCTAATAAAGCACGAAGAGTTATTGACCAAATTCGTGGGCGTTCCTATGAGGAAACACTTATTATATTAGAACTCATGCCCTATCGTGCCAGTTATCAAATTTTAAAATTGGTTTATTCAGCCGCATCAAATGCTAGTTACACTATGGCTTCAAATAAAGCAAATTTAGTTATTAGTCAAGCTGAAGTTAATGAGGGGACTGCTGGAAAGAAATTAAAACCTCGGGCTCGCGGGCGTAGTTATCCAATAAAAAGACCGACCTGCCATATCACTATTGTACTAAAAGATATTTCATTCAATGATTCTGAATCCGTGGAGCTCGGTTTGCTAAAAAAACCACAAGCGAAAAAAAATTCTAGAACTAAAGCATATTCTGATATCCAGAAAAGGAGGTATTTATGGGACAAAAAATAAATCCACTTGGTTTCAGACTTGGTACAAACCAGGCCCATTATTCACTTTGGTTTTCGCAACCAAAAACGTATGCTGAAAATCTGCAAGAAGATCAAAAGATAAGAGCTTTTATAAAAAATTATGTACAAAAAAATAGAATCAAACCCTCGGGTACCGAGGGAATTGCAGGTATATGTATTAAAAAAAGACTCGATCTAATCCAAGTCATAATCTATATTGGATTTCCCAAAGTATTCATTGAAAATAGCCCGCAGGGAGTTGAAGAATTACAAAAAGCTCTACAAAAAAAATTAAATTTCGTAAACCGAAAACTTAATATTGCTATCACAAAAATTGAAAAACCGTATGGAAATCCTAATATTCTTGCCGAATTTATAGCTGGACAATTAAAGAATAGAGTTTCCTTTCGAAAAGCAATGAAAAAAGCTATTGAATTAGCTGAACAAGCAGATACAAAAGGAATTCAAGTACAAATTGCGGGACGCCTTGACGGAAAGGAAATTGCACGTGTGGAATGGATAAGAGAAGGAAGAATTCCCCGCCAAACTATTCAAGCTAAAATTGATTATTGTTGTTATTCAGTTCGAACTATCTACGGGGTTTTAGGCATAAAAATTTGGATATTTTTTGATCAAGCTCAATAAAATTTTATTCATTCTTTTTACCTGTAATACCGAGCGGCCATTTCACAAATTATTTTGTGTAATGAGCAGGAACAGTTCTAATTGATAATAATGAATTCTATAAGGTTGAATAAAAATTTTATTTATTTTTAATAAAAATATCATTGCTATGCTTAGTGTGCGACTCGTTTATTTTTTAAGGTTAGCATGAAACCAAACCCAAAGTAACAACTACTAACTCGAGAAGAAATTACCTAATAATTAACTCATCAATTTCGCATTATCTGGATCTAAATAACCAGTCACGATATGATTACCGCTCATATCGTTGTAGCAACTGCCATTTATTTGCATAAACGAAAAATAGTATTCAAATATTATTGAAGTTGCGAAGCAAAATATAAAAAAGATGTGGATAATTGGAAGGGAGAGAGAAAGGGAGAAAAAGAAGCTCAATGATTGAAAATTCCAATATGTAGGGTCTAACAAAACAGGCAATGTAATGAAGCATTAATACTTAAATTCTGCATATTAAAGTATTTAAAATAGAATAAGAAATCTAAGAATATTCAATAATAAAAAACAATATACTCTTATTATAGAAATCTATAATCTATATATAAATATTCAATTAGATATTAAATATAGAAGAGATAAAATAAAAAAATAAAGTCAAGAGCTTAAAGCCAATAAAGACTAAGAAAAATGGCTAAAGACTTAAATTATTCATATATTATTACTATTTGAGCTCCATTGTAAAATTAGGACCTAACCATTAAGTAAGAAGTGATGGGGACGACGGAACTTATGAGAATACAAAAGATTCAATTCAATTCAAGATGAAATAAAAAAAAATCTTAAACATTCACTGGCTGGGATGGCGGAATAAACCAATGTTAAATTATTTTATTTCTAGATACTAGCTATAAGATGTCACAAACTCGTCCTAGAAATGAAATCTAAATTGACAGAGTCAATATTCGCCCGCGAAAACTTTTTTCAAAAGAATCAATATTCAATCTAAAGCAATATAAAGAATAGTCAAAAATGAAGGATTAGTTAGACTCAGAGAATCATGAAAAAACTGTAGAATAATTCATTTCAATTCAAATAGATTTAAAAAAAGATCACTCAATCCCTAAATATTATTTTGACTTCTCAGTCCAGACTTTTATTATCTATCTTTAGATTTAGATATCTTCACTATGATTAGTCAATTTGAGTCAAACGCTCATTTTGTAAATACTTTATTCGTAATTCGCGAGGAGCTGGATGAGAAGAAACTCTCACATCCGGTTCTGTAGTAGAGATGGAATAAATAAAAATCCATCAACTATAACCCCAAAAGAACCAGATTCCGTAAACAACATAGAGGAAGAATGAAGGGAATAGCTTCTCGAGGGAATCATATTTGTTTCGGTAAATATGCGCTTCAAGCACTTGAACCCGCTTGGATCACATCTAGACAAATAGAAGCTGGGCGACGGGCTATGACACGAAATGCACGTCGTGGAGGAAAAATATGGGTACGTATATTTCCCGATAAACCAGTTACTGTACGACCCGCAGAAACACGTATGGGTTCAGGAAAAGGATCCCCTGAATATTGGGTTGCTGTTGTTAAACCCGGTCGGATACTTTTTGAAATGGGTGGAGTAACAAAAAATATTGCCAGAAAAGCTATTTCAATAGCAGCATCAAAAATGCCGATACAAACTCAATTCATTATTTCGGAGATAGAATAGACGATATAACTCTAGAACCAACCCAAAGAATCTTAAGAATGAAACAAAAACAAAAAAAAAAGAGGTTTCGTTTTATGTTTGTGGACAAAAAATATTTCTTTTTTTCTTCGCCCTTTGCATTGTGAAAGAAAAGAATAAAAAAAATGCTATGATTCAATCCCAAACCCTTTTAAATGTAGCGGATAACAGCGGGGCTCGAAAATTGATGTGTATTCGAATAATAGGAGCTAGCAATCGTCGATATGCTTATATTGGTGACATTATTGTTGCTGTTATCAAAGAAGCTGTACCTAACATGCCTCTACAAAGATCTGAAGTAGTTAGAGCCGTAATCGTGCGTACCTCTAAAGAACTAAAACGTGGCAACGGGATAATAATACGATATGATGATAATGCCGCAGTTGTTATTGATAAAGAAGGAAATCCAAAAGGGACCAGAATTTTTGGTCCAATCCCCCGGGAGTTAAGACAATTAAATTTTACTAAAATCGTTTCATTAGCTCCTGAGGTATTATAAAAAAAATTAAAAAATGGAGTAGAATCTGTCTCACGTATATAACTTTAAGATTAAAATAAAGTAAGATAAACACAATAATCCATAGACAATAAAAAAAACACGTTGAGAGTAGAAAAATTTTTAGCTCCATAATTAGAGTTCATCATGGGTAGGGACACTATTGCTGAGATAATAACTTCTATACGGAATACTCATAGGGATGGAAAAAGAACAGTTCGAATCCCATCCAGTAATATTAACGAAAAGATTGTAAAACTCCTTTTAAAAGAAGGTTTTATTGAAAGTGTGAGAAATCATCGAGAAAACAACAAAAATTTTTTAGTTTTAACTCTGCAACATATAAACACTAAAAAAAGGACCTTTAGCAATATTCTAAATTTAAAACGGATAAGTCGACCCGGTCTACGAATGTATTCTAAGTCTAAAAAAATACCTAAAATTTTAGGCGGGATGGGGGTTGTAATTCTTTCTACTTCACGTGGTATAATGACAGACCGAGAAGCCCGACTGCAAAGAATCGGGGGGGAGATTTTGTTTTATATATGGTAATATTTTCAAGATGCCAATTAGGTAGAAACTTTCCATTTCTATGATTCCCAAATGGGATATTTTAGAATCTAATGAAATCCCCATTCCTTATTGCTTCTAGGTCACTGAAATAAAGAATAAAGTCCTTCGGATGAAAGAACAAAAATCACTTTCCTTTTTTCAAGAATTTTTTTATTAAGGAATCCTTTTCAAATAGTATGTTCTGGTTTTCTTTTTTATTGATTTAGATAATCAACTAATAAAGTAATAAAGATTGGATTATAAGTTCTTTTTGTGAAAATAGGCTAAATTCATTTTTAGTTTAGACGGATAACTTCAGAACAAGTCGATGAAGCTTTTGCAACACAACAATGATTCAAAGGAGTCATTTTTAAACTTAGCTATCTCTTTGGCAAAAATAACAAAATTAGAAATTGAAAATAAAAAAAAAAATGAATGTTTTTATTATAATCTTCCAATCAAACCGAAACTCTAAAGTAAATTTAAAAGAAATGTAAGGAGTCTGAATATGAAAATAAGAGCTTCTGTTCGTAAAATTTGTGACAGATGTCGATTAATACGGAGAAGGGGACGACTTATAGTAATTTGTTCCAATCCCAGACATAAACAACGACAGGGATAATAAGACTTCGCAACTTAACTTAGTAACTAAACCAATTATAGAAATGAAAGAATCGTGAAATGGATATATCCATATAGTATATCGCTGACTCAGATTTACAAAATGCTTAATGGTAAAATATATATCGAGAATTAGTTCGCGTAGGAAGGGGGGACGTATTGGTTCACGTCAGAATGCACGTAGAATACCAAAAGGAGTAATTCATGTTCAAGCCAGTTTCCATAATACCATAGTGACTGTTACAGATGTACAGGGACGGGTAGTTTCTTGGTCCTCTGCCGGTACTTCTGGATTCAAAGGAACCAGAAGAGGAACACCTTTCGCTGCTCAAACCGCGGTAATAAATGCTCTTCGTAAAGTAGTGAATCGAGGTATGCTACGAGCCGAAGTATTTATAAAAGGTCCCGGTCTCGGAAGAGATGCAGTATTACGAGCTATTCATAGAAGCGGTATATTATTAACTTTTATAAGGGATGTAACCCCTATGCCACACAATGGCTGTAGACCCCCCCAAAAAACGACGTGTGTAGAAATCAAAAGTGAACCTATATCAAGAGAAATAGAAGATTCACTAATATACTAAATCAAAATTTTTATGGTTCGAGAGAAAGTAGCAGTATCTACTCGGACACTACAGTGGAAATGTGTTGAATCAAGAATAGACAGTAAACGCCTTTTTTATGGCCGCTTTATTCTATCTCCACTTATAAAAGGTCAAGCCGATACAATAGGAATTGCGATGCGAAGAGCTTTGCTGGGAGAAATAGAAGGGACATGTATCACACGTGTAAAATCTGAGAAAGCCTCGCATGAGTATTCTACCATAGGGGGGATTCAAGAATCGGTACATGAGATTTTAATGAATTTGAAAGAAATTGTATTGAGGAGCAATCTATATGAAAGTTGTGATGCGTCTATTTGTATCAAGGGACCTCGACATGTAACTGCCCAAGATATAATATTACCCCCCCATGTACAAATTGTTGATAACACACAACATATAGCTTGGTTGACGGAACCTATTGATTTTTTTATTGGATTAAAAATAGAGAGAAATCGCGGATATTTCAACAAAGTGGACCTTCACTTTGACGATGGAAGTTATCCTATAGATGCTCTCTTCATGCCGGTTCAAAATGCAAATCATAGTATTCATTCTTATGGGAATGAAAAACAAGAGATACTTTTTTTGGAAATATGGACAAATGGAAGTTTAACACCAAAAGAAGCACTTCATGAATCCGCCCGAATATTGATTGATTTCTTTATTCCTTTTTTCCAGATGGAAGAAGAAAACTTATATTTAGCAGATGCAAAACACACAATTCCCCTACCCCCCCTTATCTTTTATAATAAAGTGACTACACTTATAAAAAAAAAAAAGAAACTTTCATTGAAATTAATTTTTATTGACCAATTAGAATTCCCTCCCAAGATATATAATTGCTTGAAAAAGTCAAATATATTTACATTATTTGATCTTTTTAATCAAAAACAAGAAGATCTTTTAAAAATAGAACATTTTCAACTAGAAGATATAAAACATATATTGGGGATTCTAGGAAAATATTTTGCACTGTATTGATTATAAACTTAGGTTTAATTAATAAAAAAAATAAATTGAAACATTCATGAATATGAATTGACGTGTATCTAGGAAGAACTTTCAAGAAACGCTTCCCTAGATACACAAGCTTTGGTTTTTTTTAAATTGAATCAAAACTCCACAAAACAAATTTAAAAAAGACCTAAAGTGAGGGATTTTTCAATAGGTAATGTTGCACCAATGCCCAACCAAAAGGTAACTCCGGGTACCAATAAAAAACACAGTGGTTGCTACTGGACGACGAAATGGGTTTTGGAATTTATTAACATTCTCTAAAAAAGGTACTGTTAATAATCCCGTAGGTACTGAAAGCATTAAAAGAACACCTAATATTTTATTAGGCACTGTACGAAGTATTTGAAATACAGGAAAGAAATACCATTCAGGTAATATTTCTAACGGGGTTGCAAAGGGATTTGCGGGTTCACCAATCATTGAGGGTTCTAGAACTGCTAAACCTACATTACATGCAATAGTACCAAGAATAACTACTGGAAAAATATATAAAAGATCATTGGGCCATGCGGGTTCCCCGTAATAATTATGACCCATACCTTTTGCCAATTTAGCTCTTAATACAGGATCATTCAAGTCAGGTTTTTTTATTATTGGGATAGGTGAAGTCTTAGAGATCCATCCCCCGAGGGAACCGGACATGATCATTTTTAATCATCCAGCTCGAGCAAGACTCAAACAAATAATTAAAAAAGAATTAATCATTATATGAATGAACAAATACATTTCTAAAGCTAGGTAGTTTATAGGTTATCTTAGAGTCGTTAAGAGTCTTTATATTCATTTATACACAAAAGATAATCTATGATATAGAAATAGTTCAATGTAAAAGAAAAAATTTGTTTTTATCAAGTGAACCTTCTCTAGTCAAAAAATTAAATTTCTTTTCTTATTTGCTTACGCGTCAATACTCAAGACCCAAGTAGGCTTAATTTTCTGATAGGATCAAGTGCTTTTTGGGTCGTCTCCAACCTTAGAATGCGTATTTATCTGAAACTATTTTCAAAAAGTTTTCATATTTTAAGATACGCAGAAAGGTTTACTTGTTACTAAAAAAAAGTCCAGTTTCTTTTCTTCGTTAGATCTCTTGTTTCACTCCGATAGTATTATCGAGATCGGACCAATGGAGAGGAAATGACTCCATTTACAGATTCTATATTAGCGTTTAAAATGTTAAATAAAAATAAAAAGTTTCTAGGATCTTTTTATATTCAATATTGGATTTTACGGAGCCTAATCATGTATAACATGATTTTTATATGATCATAGAATAAATTATCTTCAAGGGAACCAGCTTATCCCTCACATAAGGCTTATGCGCCAATTGGAACAAAGACACATTTGGGTGGTGATAATTCAAATGTGGTAGGCTTATATCTACATGGACCAATCAATAGTTCAGGTCGCACACTCCCATAATCCATTTTATCGTAAAATTGATCTTCAACTTCAAAGAATTCCCCTCGCCTATTTGTGTATTCATGTAAAAAAAAAAGAATATAGGAAGGGTGAAGATAAATATAAAAAACCATTTCTTATTCTTTTAAAGAATGGATTTTTTTTAGCAATGAAATACTATTACCCCTCCTCCAAGTGAGAAATAACATATCTTACAAATTTTTTTTATTTAGGATCTCTTTTTATTTCTATTTTGATTTATAAAGGACCAGAAATACCCTGTTTACGTATCATTGAAAAGTGCATTAACATAAATACGGCAGTAATAAGAGGCAAGACAAAAGTGTGTAAACTATAAAAACGAGTCAAGGTGGATTGCCCCACACTAGCGCTTCCTCGTAAAAATTCTACCAAAGGTGATCCTATTACAGGAATAGCTTCGGGTACACCTGTTACAATTTTCACTGCCCAATAACCTATTTGGTCCCGAGGTAACGAATAACCGGTTACGCCAAAAGATGTTGTCAATACAGCTAAAATTACACCTGTAACCCAAGTCAATTCACGAGGTTTTTTAAACCCACCTGTCAGATACACACGAAATACATGCAGAATCATCATCAATACCATCATACTTGCTGACCATCGATGAACCGATCGGATTAACCAACCAAAGTTCGCTTCAGTCATTATGTATTGAACAGAAGCAAACGCCTCTGTAAGGGTCGGACGATAGTAAAAAGTCATAGCAAACCCGGTAGCTACTTGTACTAAAAAACACGTAAGCGTAATTCCCCTAAACAATAAAAAATATTGACATGTGGAGGAACATATTTACTAGTTATATCATCTGCAATCGCCTGAATCTCCAGACGTTCTTCGAACCAATCATAGACTTTATTGAGATAGGGTAATTTCCCCCCCCTGAGAACCGTATATGAGACTTTCATCTCGTACAGCTCAACCAAAAATGTCCAAATACTCATTGCGCCGGCCAGACCAACACATAGATTATATTCAATAAAATGCGAAATCTATTATTTCTTATTGATTTTTTTGGCACTAATACAAACATATCAAGTTAGCTCAGTTGTCTTTATTTTTATTTTGACGGGCTTTTTGAAGCTTCTCTTTACCTATCTTTTTTTTTATGGAATGATTCTTTTTTTATTTGTTTTGTTTATTTGATTGGATAGGAATTACCTTGTTAAGACCCTATAAATCGAAAAAAACCTAAGATTCCTATTTAGAACCACGATTAAAAAAATTGAAACGTAATCAAGGATTCCCTGAGTAAGAACCTTTTTAAATTAACTTTAACCATACTAAATAGATGGAATTTTTATTTTGGTCATCCAGAAGGTTTTAAATAATCAAACCTTCTTGGTTTCAAATTTTTTTGGAACCCGGGCACGAGGTCTTAATAGGAAGTCTGAATCATAGTTCAAATAGATCTCGTGTTTCAGATACTCGAATCCATATCTGACGAATCAAATAATCTCTGGTAAGTAAGATAACCAAATTTTATGGACTATGAATAGGATCCTTTATAACAAGTCACACACTCATATTCCGGAAATGATAGAAATAAATAAATAACACGATCGAACTACCACAATTACATAAAATAGAATGCATTCTAAATCTTAGTTAAAAGGGCGCCGCTTTGAATAAAAAAAGTGGGACTAGGTTTCAATTCATTGAAATTCCATCCAATAAAACGGAAGAATTATAAATCTCTAAAATAATAGATAGAAATATCGCGAATAAACCCATTGCCAAACCCATTAAAGGTGTTGTTCCCCACCCCGGAGCTACTTTACCGTATTCTGAATTCAATGGTTTTAATAAATTACCGATAGTAGTTTGTCTTGGACGATATTGAGAACCTTTCTCACTAGTTTTTGTAGCCATAAATCCTCTTTTATTCAATTTTATTTATTGAGAGATCTGTTAACTTTGTATACCATTGCGTTATAAAGAAATGATCTTAGCATAGATCCTTTGGAGTATTTTAATTATATACTAATAAAAAAATGGAAACAGCAATCCTAGTGACGATATTTATATCCGGTTTACTTTTTAGTTTTACTGGGTATGCCTTCTATACCGCTTTTGGACAACCTTCTCAACAGCTAAGAGATCCATTTGAAGAACATGGAGATTAGTTGAAGTAATAAGCCTCCCCACGGTGGAGGGCTTATTACTTCAAGTTACTATAGCGAAAAATTATTTGATCTTTTTCATTGGTACTTTAGGGGGTTCTCGAAAAAAGATAGCGAAAAATATTATTCCTAGAGTCGAGACTAAGAGGAATGTATAAACCAATGCTTCCATAAATTACATCGTAGTTTCCAATTATAGCTTTCCTACCTATTTTTGTTTTTTTTATCCTATATCTTACCCTATATCTTACTTCGCTTCGGATAAAGAAAGAACGAAAGACAGATATCAAAATAATAGGATAAATGATATATCAGACAGCTTGTCGTCTTGTCGTTGGATCTCCCAGTTTTTGGAATACTCCAAACTCTACTTGCACATCTAAATCTGGGTCAATCCCAGCAAAAACATCTCTGAAAAGGGTTCTAGCACCATGCCAAATGTGTCCGAAAAAGAAGAGCAATGCAAATGAAGCGTGCCCAAAAGTAAACCAACCTCTTGGACTACTCCGAAAAACCCCATCAGATTTCAAAGTAGCACGATCTAATTCAAAAATTTCACCGAATTGAGCGCGTCTAGCATATTTTTTCACAGTAGCCGGATCATTAAAACTTACTTCATTGAGTTCACCACCGTAGAACGCAACAGTGACTCCTACTTGTTCAACACTATACTTCGATTCTGCCCTTCTAAACGGAACATCGGCTCTAACAATTCCATCACTGTCTACTAGAATAACTGGAAATGTTTCAAAAAAAGTAGGCATACGGCGTACAAAAAGTTCACGCCCTTCTTTATCTCTAAAGACAGGGTGGCCTAACCATCCAACTGCTATTCCATCCCCGTTATCCATCGAACCTGCTCTGAATAATCCTCCCTTTGCTGGATTATTACCGATATAATCATAAAAAGCTAATTTTTCCGGAATTTTCGACCAGGCTTCTGATAAACTTTGATTTTCTGCTAGTCCCGTACTAACTCTTCGATATATCTCTTGTTGGAAATAACCTTGGTCCCATTGATAACGGGTGGGGCCAAATAATTCAATTGGGGTAGTCGCCGAACCATACCACATAGTTCCAGCAGCTACAAAAGCTGCAAAAAAGACAGCAGCAATACTACTTGAAAGGACGGTTTCTATATTTCCCATACGTAATCCCTTGTATAGCCGTTGAGGCGGACGGACACTAAGATGGAATAACCCCGCTAAAATGCCCAGTGTTCCAGCTGCAATATGATGAGAGGCTATTCCTCCTGGAACAAAAGGATCAAAGCCTTCCACACCCCAGGCAGGATTAACAGGTTCTACTTTTCCTGTTAGGCCATAAGGATCGGATACCCAAATTCCGGGACCATACAAACCCGTTACATGGAATGCACCAAAGCCAAAGCAAGTAACCCCCGCAAGAAATAAATGAATTCCAAAGATCTTAGGTAAATCCAAAGAGGGTTTTCTAGTCCGTTCATCACAAAAGACTTCTAGATCCCAATACACCCAATGCCAGATAGCTGCCAAAAAACATAACCCAGAAAACAAAATATGTGCGCCAGCTACACCTTCGTAACTCCAAAGACCGGGAGTCGTTACAGTCCCTCCTGTAATATCCCAACCCCTCCAGGAATTAGTTATTCCTAACCGAGTCATAAAGGGTATTACAAACATACCTTGTCTCCACATTGGATCAAGAACCGGGTCGGAAGGATCAAAAACCGCTAATTCATACATAGCCATGGAACCAGCCCACCCCCGCAACCAAAGCTGTATGCATAATATGAACCGAAAGCAACCGACCAGGATCATTCAATACAACAGTATGAACACGA